CGTTCGCAAATATGTACTGAAAAAGCACTCAAAAAGGACAAAATTTGATCAATATTTTCTCACTATGCATTTCGCGTAGCGATTTGCGTGACCCGAAAGTTCTAAATCAAACTAATTACGCAATTTTGTGTTTACACCCGCACGCTAAATAAAACAATGACAACATCGGAAGTATTCTTCTTTGTCATTGCTTTAATAGTCAGTATACCGAGTTTAATCAATAAAGGATTGTACAATGAACAACAAAATTCGGAAACGAGTACTATAGATTTGCTTTCGGACCACTGAACAGAGTGACCTAGATAATAGCGACGCTTCTTCTTTGGTCTACTGCTCAGTTATTTGTTGGTTTTCAACGTAACTCTATGATATAATTTGAAGATGAATACTTTTATTCAGTTGTTGCATCGATGTTGCAGTTTGTAGTGCGGTAAGATTGGCATGAAAGTATTGAAAGTCGAATGGAATTGTTTTTTCCAATATGGCGACTAGTCAACTTATCATGTGACCTTCTCTTCCGGAATATTTACTCACTTTTCAACCATCGTTTTCACCACGCTATGAATCAATACAATGAAAAAAATAGCTGTTATATTAAGATTAATAAAAGATCAATCGTTTCTAATAATTTTTTCTGTACCCTCGTACGGGAATATGAACGAATATATCGTTTGAAAAATAGGTGTGAAAATCCCCATGTTAAACCTATGAGGGAAAACAAGGAACTATAAATTTGTTCCTCCGCGAACTGCATCAAGGGAAATATTTTGACCTTATAAGGAAAGATTTTCGCGTCTCCTCTTTTGAAGAGGGAACAGCGATTTCGAGAATTGATCGCTCCATTATCGGTTGCTGCGTATACCAAGGTGAAATATATGCCATTTTTTATTCTAGTAATGGTATTTCTCACAGTTCTTGTTTGCAATGGTGTGGTCTGCTCATTACTCTTCCAGATTTCACCATCTCCATTACTTCTTTGCTTCCCATCCTGGGATAAGGGGTAGAGCCTAAAACAAACATCAGCAACACTAAAACAAATGATAACTCATTTTTTCCATAATACTACTGTTTAACACAGGGAAATAAAATCTAATTGTCCCTCTAAAACTAGTATTCAATCAGAAAATCATATTGCCCAGGGGAAAAATTGTATTGGGATCGCATTCACTCAAAAATCGATTCCATGAAAAATCTATGAAACATAGCTGTTACAATCGCAAAGGATAGGTATAGATATGGTAAACTGAATTCAACAGTGTTTTTCTCGTAAACCAATTTTTGGAAACATTCTGTAAAAAACACGGTCCTTTATGTAATGTTGACTGATTTGCAAGAATTTAATGCACAACTTATTTATATATATTTTATATAACTGTTTTATAAACTGTCTATAAACTTTTTTTGTTTTTTTAGTACGATTGTTTTTTGTTCCTTTCTACCAATTCTTGAGAATTCATTTCATTCCTAACATATGATACCAAGAACGAAAGAAGTGTCTGATGTGTTTCTAAAACAATATAGAGAAAATTATATATTATATATAATTCAAATTATAATGTTACCATCCAAAAGATGACCATTGAATTGACGATGTGTAAAATTTTCAGAATGTTTGATGACTGGTTTAAGAGAAACGCGTGTTCAAAAAGTTCCCCATATCGATACTACTCCTTTATCCGGGACACTAACTGGGACTAAAGATACATGTATGTGTAACATTTCGCTCAATGTGTTCACAGGAAGTTATCAGGCGAAAGAGACTAGTCTCGATTTGGTGAACGAAATTCATCGGTCTACTGCACGTTACGCCTGCTTTGGAGAATTTTGAATATCCAAAATTTAATTTGGGTGATATTTCTGTATTTTTATAAAAAAGAATTATTAGACTAGTCTTTTTCGCCTAATAATTTCCTGTGAACACGCTGAGCGAAATGTTATCTGTAGTCCAAGGTAGTGAACGAAGTTCAACGATCTACTGCACGTTACGCCTGCTTTGGACAATTTTGATATTTTTACATATTGTAGATTTAAATGTCCTCTTTATTCCAGTATTTCTTTTCGGTACAACCAGAAATACTCGATGCACACCTCCAATTTTGATTGAGACAGGTATGAGTACTATTAATTTGTAGTCTGTGATCGTTCTACAGTGTTTCATTACTTAGCAACAGGCTCATCAGATTCCCAGTATATTGGGGAACTTCCAGTTCTTATAAAATGACAGCCATCAATCTAGTTTTTTTGTAATGTGGGGTTAAGCACGGAAATATTTTGAATTTTTTTCAGGAAATACACGAATCGAGTTATATTTCTTTTTATTTACCCTTTCATGGAAAATCTATATTATGCAGCTACAGAATGCAGAACATAATTTCCCAGAGATGACCTTTGGTTTGGCACGTTCGATAGCCAATTATATAAATTATTAAACAGACCTTACTTGCCACTGAAATGGATCTCTCAATGTTCTCGCTTTTGTTTTATAAGTATTCTCTACAAGATTGGATCAAGTAACTTCAATAGTATTACCGTAGTTTTGAAACTATTAATGTAATATTAAATGAATATGATAATAAATAAAAAAAAATGATTATGTTGAACTGATGTTAAACTGAAATATCGCCATTTCAATGATTTCAAATTTTACTTTGCGCATCGCGGCACTGAGAGAGCACGTGCTCATGATTGTTCACGTGATCACATCCTGCAATTTGATATATACTGGGGAATCCCCGAATACGATAACGTATGAAGTAATTATGGGAACTGCGCACTTTTTCTGATTAATGAATAAACTGTTAATAACTTCCTCCCGTTGAAGCACCACTGTTTTAAATAGATTGTATTGGAAGATTAAATAAAAATCACTGAACATGGTTATGCTCTTTGAGCATCACACTACATTACCGTATATAAATCATTTGGGATTATGCAGGGCTCATTTTTCAAAATAATTTTCTTGTATTTAAAGATTTCTTTTGAATAAATAATAAATAAGTAAAAATAGCATATACTCCTTGTCATCAAGGACATTTAATACCGTTTAATCTGACAAATACGATTAAAATGAACTCCAAACTCACAGTAGGTGGTATAACACTGTTTAAGTTTTTTTTTAAAGTTTATTGTTACAGTCCAATGATTTAAAGGCCCACTTTGTGTGTTTTCAATGTATTTGGGCAAAATAAAGACTTTTATTTGTATTTCATAGAATGTTCAATGTATTGATAAGAACCTTATTTTTCATTTGACACCAACACCAGCTCAAAAGGACCACATCAAAGCTTACAATTATTAATAAAAAAATATTTCAGTTCGAGTTTTTATCAATATCATTGAAAGATGGCGATGTTGTTTGTATCACATGATACATTCATTTTTATAGAAGTGTCGCCATCTTTTAAATCAAAAGTAGTTTAAAACATGCACTTTATTAAGCATGATGTGTATGCACTACTAATGATTTATGAACTTCAAATGCTTTTTTTCAATTTGAGTCTTTTCTTTGTTCAATATTAAAGCAAATCAAACTTTATTTCATATGTGAGCGAGTGTGTGAGTAATATGATTTAATGATTATGTTTTTACTTTTTTCTTCTAAATTAAGTATAGTTGGCCTTTGAATTCGTCTATATTAGTTATAATTTCATCATTTATAATATCTGACTTTGATAAATAATCAGAGAACAATGTTAATAAAAACCTTGACCTTGGCCTTTGAAAATAGGTCAAGCTTTCCAAAGTTCACATATTTTGTTTTTATTTTTCTTCGGCTCCATTGACGTAACATAGAGATATCATCATATATCGCAGTATGATGATAAGCACAAGTTAACTACCAATTAAAAGCACATCCACCTCACTCTCGATCAAAAATGGAGGTCTGCGTCAAGTATTTCCGGTTGTACTGGACGAAAATACTGGACGCATTTCTACCCCCTGCATCTTGTAGATTTAAATGTCCTCTTTTGAATATTCATAATCTAATTTATATTTCTATATTTTTCATTAAAAAATTATTAGCCTTTTAAAGCTGTACTTGATCTTTCATTAGACACCAAAACAGCTCAGACAGACCACATCGGAGTTTATCACAATACATTATAAAAATGTTTTTTGATATGTAAATTTTGTTAAGTCAAGTTTTAGCAATGTCAATGAAAGATGGCGATGTTCTTTGCATCACATGATTTATTCATTTTTGATAAAATGAATAGCCTCATGCCATTTTTAATTCAAGAGTTATTTAAAACATACACTTTGTGAAAAATGGGCATGCCCAACTTTGTTTCGCTCGGTCAATACCATATTTCTATCGGTCAATATCATTTTCATTACACTGTTACACTGGAATAAAATTCATATTGAAAATAACTATGAAATAAACTATATATTAGTAGCCTGACCAGAACAAGTCATGCCTCTCTATTTTCTCAATAACTTTCTCAATTTTGAATATTTTTTCATGAAATTTTCACAGAATAAACTTTAAAGGATTCCTAACATACAAATGTTTTTATATGGTAAATGCCTCATTAATTTCATTGTTACAACCTTTTAAAAAATAATGTCATATTCTGTCGATGGGTCATTTTTGTCGCCATTTGAAAGCATCTTTTATCTCCATCAAGTATGACAATAGGCGAGTAGTAATGCCTTTTATGGGACGAGCAGTATAGAGGCTTGAGATCATGAGGTCTTGAAATAGTATGGTGGATTTAGAACACTAAAAAAGATAAATGATCCCCTATCAAAGACTGCATTCTTTGTAGACCATATTAGGACAAAACGTAACTGATATTTTTCGTATCTTTTTAGAAAAAATGGCGACAAAAATGACCCATCAACAGAATATGACATTATTTTTTAAAAGGTTGTAACAATGAAATTAATGAGGCATTTACCATATAAAAAAAATTTTATGTTAGGAATTCGTTACAGTTTATTCTGTGAAAATTTCATGAAAAAATATTCAAAATTGAGAAAGTTATTGAGAAAATAGAGAGGCATGACTTGTTCTGGCCAGGCTACTATATAATAGATGTATGAAAGCACATGTGATGAATGCTATATACTCTACTCTACCGTATGTGCTCAGAATAATTACCAAATGTTAGTATTTCCCAGAGGAGTACACCATAGGCCCAGACATCATTCTTGGTTGTGTAGATATTGTGGAAAAGAGCTTCAGGAGACATCCATCTGATCGGGATACGATCCTATTTTCCAAGAAAAACTAATGTCGAAAATGTCGAATGTTAAGCATTTAGAAATGAATACAGCCATTTCCCGTGCCTTTATCAATTTGACTAAAAGCTGTTGCTTGATATCATATACACTCTGTTCGAAAATGATATGTATCATGTATCATTGCCTTTGCAAATAAAGGAATTTGATATTTTGGCAAACTGGGTGGATACAGGGATACATTTAAAGCACAAAAACGGTGTAAAATATTGTTTACTACTATGTTAGCTACTATGTCAGAGACACACCCTTACTCTTTGAATAGTAAAAATTAGAAATAACCAAAATCTAAATGCTCACTTCTGACATTTTGTAGTATACTTCTCTATCAGTGACATCCCTTGAAAGTCCAAAGTCAGAAATTTTACAGACCTTACTAACAGTCAGTAAGACATTTCTGGCCGCAAGATCACGATGCAGAAACTAAAATACATCCATAGATATAATGTATAAACTTCTGTAATTGTTATAAATATGTCATAAACTCAATCATAATGAACCTAGAAAAATACTTTCCTTGTGTGATGAAATATGTTTCATGCCATATGCGATATCCCATCCAAATTGAAGGAATTCTTTACTTGTCTCCAACTTATCAGCCCGGATGTATTTTTCTCTATTGGCTCTCAGATAGCTTTGTAGGTCGCCGAGGGATAAATACTCGACGAGTATCATTGTACGACCTTCAACAAGAAATGTAAGATTTGTGATGGAGGGCACAATGATAAATAATACGCATATTACGTAAATTTATATAGGAATAATTCTTATGAGCAGCTAGTCCTGTCTCAAGACTAAGAAGGGCAACATTGGAACATTATGGGTGTAGGCCTATTTTAAAATATCCTGCATTTGGAATTACAATCAGTTTAAACTTCAAAATCATAGGTCCCAAGAAAAAGTACTGAGCCAAAAATAAATAAATGAGTGATGCAGGGATATTCCTAATACCCATCTGATAACAAACAATTTAATTATAAAGTTATGAAAGCATGAACAAGTTAATCATTCTAGTTTTGGAGAAATAAATCATCACTCATTTCACATGTTTGGAATCACAATGACATAATGGAGGTTTGTCTGTTATTAAATTTTTATAAATTCAGTACTGCTTCGTCTTTGTGAAAATGTCAGCTTTTAATGAAGGAAAAACGTTATTGCCGTTTTATTTGGGTACATTTTTGGGACATCCTGTATATCCGGATCCAGTGTTATTAATCTTGACAGGTATCTTAACATTCAAGTTTTCCACTATAATGATCATATTCATGAAATTAGGGAACAGCATAATTTCATCAATATAGTTAAACTAGATATATATGTACGGCTTCTCTGATTTTTTGTCAACTATTTTCTTACCATTATATGTTGAGAAACCTAAAAGTTCCACGACGTATCTGTGTTTTGGTAACTGTTGCATCAGCTCTAGCTCTCGTAGTAACATTCTATGGTCCTCGTCTGATGCAGTATCTACATGTAGATATGTAAGGGTTATTTACTGAGATGCTTTGGATATGGGGTTTTCCAGAGGGAAATATGCATTATATCCCGAGGGTAAACTCCATTTCCAAGTCGACTGTACATAACTGTTTTATACTTTACCCATAGAGTTTGCTAAAAAATCAATTTTTGAGAGATATTCCCGGGAGCGGGAGATATGGCGGAAGATATCGATGTTCTGGATATGGAAACCTCAAAATTAGGATAAGGATAAATCTTACCAACTTATCTCTCTAAAACTCTACTGGGCATGGGAAAATCATAACATAAACATACCTCTTGATAATTAACTAAGTCATCTTGGTAAAGCTTTTAACCTCTCCACCATAAATTTTGAAACAGTCATTCCCTGTTGTACCATTACATTGATAGAGTGTTAATATAGGTTCCAATTTCAGGACAGTATTATTATTTTCGAGCTGGCCAATATGTCTGGTAGCACTATATTAATGGGTGATTTTAATGGTAAAATATCTCAATTTCGGAGTAAAGATAAATCTAGTTTTAATGGTGACCTCATAGAATTGTTAACTGAGGTAACAGGTAGCACTATATTAAACCTCACGGAACAATGTAATGGCTCCATCACTTGGAAGCGCAATGTATTGCAATCCACAATTGACTATGTTATTGTGAATGACAATACAATGGAAATGTATGATAATCTGCTTATAGATGAAGATCACGAGTTTTCTGTAGGCAGTGATCATGCCACTATGATTGTCACTTTGAATACTGTTCATTGCTATAAAGCTACAAAAAATATCACTCATGGCAACAGATCTGTGAATAAACCCTATTATAAGTGGAAAATCGATGATAACACCGAATGGGACATATTCCAGTCTAGTCTTACTGACATTTTTAATAATTGGAATTCCTCAGATTTTATTGATGCCAATTCAATGTGGGAAAACTTTAAGTGTTCAATTCTAGCAATGGCTGACAAGCACATTGGCTTTAAGAAATGTTCCCCTCACAGCCGGTCTTTTTGGGATGATGAAATCGCCAAAATGATTAAAGATAGGAAACGGGCCAATCAATTTTATAGGTATTGGGAAAAATCCGGGATTGCTGACCCAACATTCTTAAATGAATTATGGGAAATTTACTCTGATAGAAAGCAGAAAGTTCAGCAAAAGATAAAAGATAATATTGTCCAAAACCACATTAAAAATATGACTGCCAATGCAATGAAAAAGTCTAAAACTTCTCGCTCTTATTGGAAATCATTGAAAATGTTCAACAAAAAATCAGATTACCCTATTCAAATAAAGAACCCCGATCAGCCTGATGAAGTTATCACAGATCCCAAAAAGGTATGTGAAGTATTAAAGAACTATTGGGGAAAATTAGGTGAGACACATCGTAACAAAGACTCAAGTATTTCCAACCTTGGAACCAGAATAAAAAGTTTAGAGAAAGAAGCTGGTACTAACGGCCTTGATATTTTTAAGCTCGATAAGGATCTATTTACTCAACAAGTGAAATCTTTAAAGAATGGTAAAATGGGGGGTGGAGACCAAATTGCAAATGAATTTTTGAAATATGGAGGCATTGCTTTATCAGACGCACTTTATAACATGTTCGAATATTTTACTTATACCGAGTCTTTCCCTGATGAGTGGAGTGAGGGAACACTCATTCCAATCCACAAAGAGAATGACACTGAAAACCTTGACTATTATAGAGGTATTACTATTAATTCAAATGTTTATAAGTTGTATGCATCACTTGTTGAAAAGTCTATTAAAAAGTATATTGAGATGGAAAACAAACTTGGCGACCTCCAAGGTGGTTTCAGGGAAAAAAGACGCCTTGAAGACAATATTTTCATTTTGAAAGGTCTTTGTTGCCTTCGTAAATGTAAGGGAAAGGCTACTCATTTAGCTTTCCTGGACGTATCAAAAGCGTTTGACGTGCTAGACCGCGATACATTGTTTTGCCACTTATGGAACAAAGGAATCCAAGGAAAAACTTGGAGAATTCTACATAAATTGTACGCTAATGCACAAAATAAAGTAATTTTTGGTAATTTTGAAACCGATCATTTCGACAGTCAGTATGGTCTCAAACAGGGATGTAATCTATCCCCGACACTGTTTTCTATTGTTATGACTGAACTTATTGATATGATTAAAGCTAGAGGATTAGGCATACGTTATGAAAATGCTTATGTTCCCGCCTTATTATTTGCAGACGATATAGTATTGATAGCTGACTCAGAAGACGAACTTCAGGAAATGCTCAATACTACATCGTTCTTTGGAATAAAATGGGGGCTTAACTTTAGTAAAAAGAAATCCAAGGTCATGACGATAGGGAAAAGAATGAATACTAACAAGCAATGGTTTCTTGGTAATGCTGCAATTGACGAAGTAAAAACATACAAATATCTTGGAACCTTTGTTGATAATCTACTCCATGACACATCTCACATTAAAGATTATGTTTCTAAAAAAGCATGCAAAATCAATTCTTATATGCGATATGTACTTGCCAAACATAACAATGTCAACAGGATCAACTTTGGTCTAAGTATTTATAATTCTATGTTTACACCAGCCATTACACATGGTTGTGGGGTATGGTGTGTTAATAAGACAACTACAAAAATACTAAATTCCCTCCAATATAATGCTGGAAGGGCAATTTTGAATCTAAAGTGTAAACCGGCTACATGTGCTCTTTTGGCAGAATTAGGCTGGGAACCATTAACTACAAGCATTGAAAACAAACAGATCAATTATTTTAGCTACCTTGTAAAAAATGATAGGAATGATCTTTTAAACATTGTTTTTCAAAGTATGTTAGAACACCATAGGCTTAATTAAAATTTGTGTTGGCCATATATGAGAAACATCCACTCAATTATGAAAGATAGAGGACTGGATGATGTTATGTTCAGACCTAACACTTCCTGGATGAAGACATATAAAGCAATCACAAATAGCCAAATGAAAACTGATATATTTGAATCAATAAACGTAAAATCCTCACTAAACGTTTATAAACATGTTAAAACGAATTGGGGTCTTGAACGTTACATGCACATTTCAAACGATTTTAGACTTGCTGTTTTAAAGTTTCGAGCTAGGACAGGATGTTTCATGGTTGGTGCAGATTTGAAAAGATGGGGCCAAGGTGATGGATTATGCAAATTTTGTAATCCAGGGATTGATGATCTTTCCCACCGCCTACTGTTATGCCCATATTTTCTAACTTAAAGAGTGCACTTGAAGCCAATAATGAACATGTTTTTAACCATTTTATATCTCTTAATGTTCAGAGTAAATTACAATGGCTACTGGGCAATGATATACACAGTGTTTATGGGCACGAGATTGAAGTTTTAGTAGATAGATGTATCAAACAATTTTTATCTAATGCATTTGTTTCACCCTAATCTCAATGATACCACAAAATGAATATGTTTTGTATTTTATGTACATTTTTGTAAGAGCACCCGGTATTGGTGTGCCACCGTTTTAAAGGTGTAATAAATAAATAAATAAATAAATAATATGCACTGGGAGGCTTGGTATACTTCCTGTATCAAAACCGACCGTGCGTAGCTGTTGTATTATATACCTGATGAGGTTTTAATTAATATTAAGCAGGTCTCCCATATGCTGATGTGTTAATCGGCTAACTTGAACATCAAGACAAGTTTTCTTTGCGATGTGTTCGTTTTCTGTGTTTACTAAGAATTGATTTACATTATTTGTTTTTTAAATTTTGTTCACTATGTGTGACGGGAATTCCTGGGGTGGATCGATGTATAGCCATCGCACGTCCCGGAAAGCGCCATATGCGGGACATACGAAATATGTTTGCCCGGATATCAAATATATTCCCGGTTAATATGTCTCTGAAACCTCAGCAGGTATGGAATACAAGGTTATACAAGGTGTCGCAAAAGTATGCCCCCCTAGACAGACATTTACAGGTGTCTCCCTAGTATGTGTCATATATCATGTTAAAAATTTCCAAAATTTCATATTGTTTTGCAAAGTATCTTATGGTTCAACTCACAAATGGTAAAAAGTTAAATATAATTCATTTCAGTATCCTGGAAACAGCCCTGACCTGAATGTGACCGAAAATATGGGTGCTTTTTTGGAAGATAGAATGGATATTGAGTTCTAAAAAGAGGACGTTGAGGGTAGATATTCCAAGGAAACTCTTCTAGAATGCCTTAAAAAGGTTTTATGATCGGATTACAAAATGCCACACCCCTATTTGAAGCGCGTTAAAGATCATATATGGAAAGCATTGCTGCTGTTAACATGGAGTAGGGAGACACACTGACTATTATTTTGATGTAAAACTGACTTTAATTTTGGCCAGCCGCTAAATTTTGAAATGCCTGTAACTTTTCCCATTTGTGAGTTGAACCATCATACTTGGTAAATCAATGTAACTTTTGATGAGCTTTAAAATGATATACGACACACACTATGGAGATATTGGTATATGTCTGCCTAGGGAGGGGGGGGGGGGCAGAGGGGGAATACTTTCGGGACACCCTGTATATCCAATTTTAATGTGTACCAATCTTGTATTATACCTTTTAAGATCTTTGCAGCGGCCATGAATTGTGTGTTAACCCCATCATTCACACTCACTAGTTTTACAACTCCAAATTCACCCGAACCAAGCGTTCTCCCGATGTCAATTATTTCAAGTGGAAATTCAGCGAAGTTAGTGTTTTGCTAAAGTGATTAAAATACTGAAAGGATTATTTATGAACATTTAACAAGTACAAGGCAATCTATAAAGTCTATATATAGCCTTCAAAAACACACGCAGCCTAAATGTCAGTGCAACGAATATGACTTATATGGCGTGTGGCAAATACGATGTTTATGTCCAAGGACCATAAAATCGGATTTTATCGCTATAACCACTATATAAACTGAAATGGAAATAAAATAGTCAAAGCTTTATTGAAAATTGTATAGCCTCGTCTTAACTTACAAGGGGTACATTTTCATAATTTGTGTTTCGTGGATCGACCGTATTTGTCCTAAATTCTACTTCTTCACCAGGAACCCGCTGATGTTGGATAAAGGCTACGGTCACACCATCCTCTGCGCCGACCCTCGTGCTATATAATTAAGAAATGATGATACTAACCAGGCATGTGCTGATGCACAATTAGGGATATATTTATGTACGAAGCCCAAATTCAAAGTAAAATACAGAATGCATATTTGACTACCGTGTTCTGATTGAGTTGAATTCTTGATGCCTACATGTAGCTATGTGTGAATATTCAATAGAGAATATTATAAAATAAACACATACTGATTATGTGAATGTCGATGTGTAAATTAATCTTGATCTGACCTTGATCTAAGCCATTTGATTTCCTGTTTCAGCTTAAAGACCCAAAATGCCATTGAAGATGAGATACCGATTGCTAACGTTGCACAAATTGCTCCACCAATAATAGCAGGGATGAATCCAACGCAGCTACAAGACGCTTTGTCTGCAATTAGAGCACATTAAGTTTTTTGCTACAGACATAGTTTCCAAGATAAATGATGATAGGTTGCACGTTACTAACTCTATCAGTCAAGGTGAAATGATCAGCTGAAATGATCTCAAAACAAATGTTTTGTTTATTATTACAGTACTGTCATATTAGTTTGGTGTTTTTCGAAGAATATGTCTGACTTTGCACGCGTTACATAAATGGGTTTGCCGAATATGTTCTTTGAGCAACCCGAGGTGTTGGTATCACAAATCACAAGCCTACGATGTAGTCTTTACAAAATTTTATATCACACTTTCGAAATGATTATTCTAATAAAAGACGCATTTTAGAAAGTCAAAACAAAAATATTTGATTCATACCAACGTTTATAGTAAATTCGCTACATTCCTTATTATCATTTAGTATATTTGCTGAACAACATCGATATATTCCAGTTCCATTGAGTTGTATGTTGTTGATTTGCTTTGTGTCTCCAAATTCCTCAGCTCCAAAAGTTTGATTTCTTTTCGTTCTAAATTGCCATGTATAAAATGGCGGTGGGTTCCCTTGTGATACCACATGTAAATGTACATTGAATCCTACCATGCTTTGTAGTATTGCTTGATCTTCCAAATACTTGCCATCGACAACGATTGTAGGCTTCCGCGCTGGATCTGAAATATTAATGTTATTTATGCGAAATATATGTTCAGACTATTTTTGGGTTTCGAACAATTATACTTCAACAAACGCAATAAATGCGAACAACTACGATAGAAAATACGGGAAAAATTTACATTGTACATCAAGCCAAGTGGAACAATATTCCTGAATACCAAGCATCATGAAGGAACATCGTAGTTCCTTTTTGTCATCAATAATCGATGCTGCCATAGTGAATGTAGAACTATGAACTCCCGGCGTTGTCTCATCTACAGTTGCATTTTGCTCTGTACCATTCAATGTCCAAATGATAGTGGGTTTCTGGTCATCGTCTCTGTTACCAGCATATTTGACTGACCACGTGAAAGTGATGGTATCGTTCTCTCTGAGTGTAAGAATCCCTTTCATTGAGCATGATGTTGGTTCTGTACAAATTAGGTAAAAATAAGCAATGTTAACTATGTGAAAGAAGAACGTTTTTTATACATAAATTTATGCCTTTAGTTAATTAACAATAATAGACATGCAATTGATTGCCAAAGTTTTATAAAAAAAACATTAGCGGCAATTTTAGACAATATGAATAGGAATACATTAACATTTAAAATTTATCAAAGTAATGTTATCACTCATATAAGATACTATAATCCCACGGGCCAGGGATGTATTAACACATGCATACAAAAATTAGCCAAACCGATCAATTTGGCTCAGACTTTGATTAACAAAATGACTCATAAATTCTATTAATTTTTCATTTAATCAATTATCTAAATCTTCATCACCATACAAAAGAAACTGAATTTTGTCAACTGTGTTCAAACTCTGACCAAAAGATGAAGATCTGAAGTTCGTAGTCCTGCAAATTAAGTTTCACGCTCGTTTACAAGCAGATGACATTTTCAGATAAAATGAGAAGGTGTTTGTGGTAATCCACATTTACAAAAGGGATCACTAACACTGGTGAACTTATGAGCATATAGCTGCGATTTTAAAAGAAGACCCACTCTGAGTTTGTTAAAAGCACATTCAACATATCTAGGCATTTCGTTTACCATTTTGGTAGTGGGTAGCATGGAGACAGGGATTCTGATATCTCTTACTAATCTTTTGAAGCGTGATATCGGTTGACCTCTTCTCATGTCAAGGTGTGAGTTGCTAGCTTTTGTAGGAATTAAGTAATGTCTTGTATCTCTCAGTTGCCTAGTCTGAGTATTTTCATAAGTTTGAAGTAATTCACAAATGAAAGGTGGATAAGAATTGTACCTACATATAAACATAAACAATGTATAGTGCTCATCTCTTCTAGTTAATAGGGATTTCCAGTTTAAGGAACTTAGAACAGAAGCAGTGTTTGACCCATGTATAACACCAGAAACCAAACAAGCTGCTCTGTAGTGCAATCTATCTAAACACTGAAGTTTAAAATTTGAAGCTTTACTGTAAATTATATCACAGTAATCAAAATGTGGCATAATGAAAGCATTGTAAATTGTTTCCAAGTGTTTACTCTTAAGAAGTTTGCTAAGCTTCTTTAAAGGTCTCATTAGAGAAATTACTCTTGTGATAAGTTGATCAATATGGTCATTAAAGTTGAAATGTTGACCCAGAATTAGCCCCAAGTGCTTATGACTATTGTATCTTAGTATCGGTTCATCTCCTAGATGTTAAGGGGGAGGTTCAATAAGTAAGTTTCTAGTTCCCGTGAAAATCAAATCAGCGCTTTTTGTGCTTTAAAAGTCATCTTCCAGGTATAAGCCCATAAAGCAAGATCATCTAAGTCATTTTGAATGGATTTGTGTACATGTATATCAATAAAATTCTCACTTTTCTCATAGGAGTTATAGACTGAAGTGTCATCTGCAAAAATAAAAGGTTTTTGAATGAAAATTATCAGGAAGATCATTCACATATAATAGAAAAAGCAGGGGTCTTAATGCTGATCCTTGAGGAACCCCAGCATGTATGACTAAATTGTCATGCAAATTATTTTGGTTCTTTGTATTGTCATTAGCATTTTCATTGAACCAATTCGAATAGCTATTATTCACTTTAACTTTTACTCTTCTGTTGGATAAATATGAAGTCATCAGTTTAATAAAGTTTTC